GATGAGTGCCGCAACCCCAGAGTCGGTCACGACTGGACCTAATGGTCAGGGGTCCCTTTACCTTTACTAATAACACAAATACAGGTCATCAATACAACTGATCACAGCAATATCCTTGAACGATATGCAACTGATGTATTTGAGAGACACAGGGAGTGTTTATTTTCTAGCTCTCTTTAACAATTCAGTTGCCGGTATTAACTGGTGCAGGGCTTCACGAGCTATACTAACAGATGGAAGTATCAACCTATTCTGGACCTACTTTCCCCTCTAAGCAACCTGGAAGTTGAGCAGGTGATGTGCCTACACAAGAAGCCACCTGGAAACTCCTCAGCTCGTGTCTTGAGGTTCATGATGGAAGAAAGATGGGATGTAAATTAAAGTGTCTGGAGCACTGGGCTGAGGAGAAGAAAGGCAGGGATGTGGGAGAAATGTGCTGTTTCTTTTTAACCCACTCCCCACATCACATTCATGCTTTGTATGTGAACTCATGTCTACCATTGTTCTACCATGGTGTGTTTGTGACTTGGAGCCTCATTTCTGAAGCATAATATTTGAATATGCTTTGCTATTCATCACTGCTTTTTGCTGTGGATGCTATCCAAAGACAGTCATGTACATACTTGCTGCAGACATTCAGGGCACCCACTGCTGAAAACTAGTTCCAGCTTTTCTTATGTAGCACTTGCTGGTTAAAACTTGACACTCTCAGTTCATAGAATCATAAAATTGTAAAGTCGGAAGGGACCCTGAGGATCATCTAGTCCAGCCCCCTGCAGTGCAGGAATATGCAGCTGTCCCATATGGGAATCGAACCTGCAACCATGCTGTAACCAAGTGGGCCATCCAGAGGAATGTCAATAAAATGCCCTAATCCAGATACGGAGATCTGTACATGGCGGTAGGCTTCTGTGCAATGCTTCCTGGAGTAGGAACTGCGTTGTGCATCGGGATGTGAGCGCTGTCTGTCAGAACAGCTTTTGTTTCCAGTGGATACATTACACCTGGCCCAAAGACAAGGATAAACAACATTTTCCCGTGTATCTCTGAGCTTGGAATGCATAGCTCTACTTGATTAAACCGATTAAACTAATCAAAACTTCCTTCTTAGATATGCCAAGTCACCAAACTGGCTTTGTGGGTATGTATATAACATATGCCCAGTTTCCACAGGGAATGAAGCCAAAGTGACTTCGCCTTTCATGCATAATGGGAATGACTTATACGAATAGCAAAGCTCCCCCCCCCCTTGTTTGGCAAATAGGTGGGCACGCTCAGTGTCATCCAATCACCTGTGGCTGCTTTTCCTCCACCCCCTATGAGCAAGCAGCTCCACACCACCTCCCTGTTTCTACTTTTAAGGCAGATGTTTAAGTAAAATCTGTCTGAACCGTTTGCTGTCTACACTTACAGATGCAGAAATCCATATAATCTGAGCATTATTGTTGGGTGAGTAAAGCTTGGGCTGAAAGTAAACCTGTATCGAAGTAGAAGCTTTGCAGCTTGGAAAACATTCACTGAAATGGTTTGTTGGTAGGAATTAGCAGTTAAGCGTACAAACTATATTGAATGCATAAAAGAAAGATAGAAACTGGTGTGGGGAGGAGGATTTTATTCCTCAGGGGGAATGTCTGAAACTCTGATGGTGCTCTGCTTTCCTCAGTAAACACCTTAAGGATTCCACACCTGGAATTTTGCAAAGATACTTATGTGCAGCATAAATGAAAACTGACAAATAATCTTGAAAATGTTTTAGCATAATTGAGCATCTGGGGCTGTCTTTTCTCCTTCTGCTGTAGCTTAATGGGCAGCTGTTCTAGAGTGATAAGGCTGGAAGGTGCAGGGAGGAGAACGCTTTGCTCTGGGATTCCCAGTGTGGCACCTGAGGACACCAAGACAGCCTCTGGCACACCCCCCACTCCCCTTGTACCTTCCAAGGCCGCCTACTTCTCTCAATTTTGCATTTTAAAAATTGAGGAGGGTTGGGGGGTGGCCTGCTTTTTTGCCTGTGTCCCATTTGTTTTCAGTGTGTGTTTTGTCTGGCAGGATTTTGACAATCATCAGTTTTTATTCTGTGAAATGGGTACCAATGGCAGTTTCTTAGATTTCCTAATGTGTCTCCAGAGCCCAAAAGGCTGGGATCTCCAGGCTTAAGTTTCTAGAAACTTTTTTACAAGCTGCAACATGTATGCCGTTGCTATCTTTCCTTCTTTTTCTTTTTTCTTTTTTTAAAGTTAGAGGACAAGCCCTGGTGGCAAGTTTTTTACAAGTCGGTATATCAGAAATGGCAATCGTATTATCAGCAGAAGCTTGCAATAGCAATTGTATTTACCTGCAAAAGTGTTGCCTTTCAAAAGCTGCAAAATGTGATACCCTTCCACACCTGCTGTGTTCAGAACAGATGTCTGAGTACCAAGCATCAGAAATAACTGCATATTTATTGTGACTGTTGTCGTACTTTCATAGGACAAGAGAGAATTGCAGCTGCAGCCCTATAAGAGATGGCAACTCTGCTATGAGCTAGGACTATCCTACTCTAGATAGCTGAATTAGCTAGAGCATGGTGTTGATAACCCCAAGTTTGCAGGTTCAATCCCCACAAGGTTTTCAACCTTTTGAGTCCACAGCTACATTAACCAACTACATTCAGGAGCCCAGTTATGTCACCCCTTTCCTGCAGAGCTGGCAGCCCCTCACCCTTATTCAAACACCCTCCCTTGTGGAGTGTTCCCTCAGCCTCCTCTCCCCTCTCCTTGAGAGTCCTCTGGGCAGCCACTGCTGCTGCCCCTGGTCTCTGAGCTGCCCTCCTGCCCCAAAGAGAGGTGCCTCCTCGCACTGCCCCACAGGAGCCTGGGACTTGTCTGTCCATTCCCAACAGCAAGGGCTGGTGGAGTGGCTGGCTGGGCTCCCTCGCCCTCTTGCTTGCTTACTCCAAGGCCACCTTAGCTCCTGGCAACCAGCACTCCCCTGGCCAGCCCAGAGTCACCATTCGCCTGGGGAGCCTGTAGCCAGGGCTGCTGCAACAGCTTTGCAATCCTTTGGGAGGCAGGGACTCAAGAGGGCAGGGGGAGGAAAAAGGGGCAGAGGCCAGTGTTGCCCTCAGCACCCCTGACCATCATTCAAGGTGCCCCAAGGTGCCACAGCACACTGGTTGAAAACCACTGCCATTTGGGATAGCTGCATATTCCTGCAATGCAGGGGTTGGACTTGATGATCCTCAGGGTCGCTTCCAACACGTCTATGATTCTATGGTTGCAAGAGCTCTGTGGATTATGGAACATAAATTTGTTTTTGTTTTTAAAAACTTTTTTTTAATTCAAAATAAAAACAAAACATATTATCCAGAAACATATCATCCTTATTTTCCCCCTCCCTCCCCCCACCCCCCGACTTCCCTCAGTTCCAGTCTTTGATTTCTCTAAGAATGCTGTTTTCTGCATGTTACACAGTTGTATAGATCCTCAAACTATTTAGCTGATTATTATCAATAAAAAGTTTGTGAATGTTTATTCAAAGCCAGCCAAGGAGTCCAGTTCGCTTTATTGAGTCTTCAAATACTTTGTAAAGGGTTCCCATTCATCTTTAAAGTCACAGTTATCCTTGTCCCATAGCTTATATGTCCTGTAGCTTACACTTACCTGGCAGGAGAGACACTTTGATCATGGAACATAAATTGAAGGACGTTAGAGGGTAGAGCTGGTTTGGTTTCTTTAGTTTAGATTGTGAAAGTTAGAGTAGAAACTCCTATCAAGATACATTAGCAGGGGTGGGAATGCATAGACTAGTGAGATTAAATTTATTGCAAGAGCAGAGGGAGCTCTCATGTGGCAGAGGCTAGTGGGTGTTGCGAGCTTTGTGTAATTTAGATTGGGTGCCTTTGGAACAGCAAAGTAAATGGTGCAATAAAACCTGTCCACAGAAAGCAGGAATAATTATCTGTTTAAATGAATGAGTAACTACTGACATCCTAATTTTTGTGCAATATGGTATACTTTGGAAAAGAGGTAACAACTTGGATTTTAAATTGTTGGCATTTAGTAGTAGTACAAGAATGTGTTGAACAGTGTATCTGAAGAAGTGTGCATGCACACGAAAGCTCATACCAAGAACTAACTTAGTTGGTCTTTAAGGTGCTACTGGAAGGAATTTTTTTTGTTTTAACATTTTCAAAGTATACCACAGACATATGCAATAGAATGATGTTCTTCTATCATCAAACCAGTTCAATGGTTTTTAATTTCAGTTCATAATGCTTTGCAACAGATACAGTTTGCTAATATATATAAATTTACTGATAGCACTTACATATTATTTGGATGGCTTTCAAACCACAGAATGCTAAAACAAATAAAAAAATTCCTTCCAGTAGCACCTTAGAGACAAACTAAGTTTGTTATTTTGTTTTGACTTCGGCAGACCAGCACAGCTACCTACCTATAACATAGAATGTTAAAATACAGTAATGATAACAGAATAAAAAGAGTAAACAGATAATGGATTAAAAATTGAATGTTGTTGTTTTTATATAAAAAATCAACAGAAAGTTAAATAGCATAGTGACCTAGACAGTATTACTGATATAAAATTCAGGGGATTCATGATTTCACAATTTAAAAGTTTGAATTGGTTTGGTTTTTTTAAGTCTGTGTCTGGTGCCTAAAATGAAATAAAGTTTATTCTACACCTTGGGACAGAAGCGTATTTTAGCAGCAATTTGTGCAAAATGAATAGGACTCTGTAGTCAGTGACTCTCTGCTGCAATGTCACGTCGGTGAGCATTGCTGTGCTATGCAGCTTTTTATCTGGTGGATGAAACTGTGTAATTTTCATTACATATAAATGGTGGGTGACATCTGAACAAATCATGCATTGACTAGACCTATTGGAAATGGGACTTCTACCGTCATTGATCTCATTGGATCTACTCTTGACTTAGTCAGATGCCACTCTATGACAAATTTGGAGGATCGCAAAATGCAGTAATCTCTCTCGTTTTTCAGGCTCCTTCATCCAGAATGATAACCTGTGGACCAGCCTTCTCCTTCGCTCGGAGCCTCTTGCGGAGAAAAATCGTCACTGTGGACAGCCTTGAAGATAGCAAATTATGCCGCTGTTTATCCACCATGGACCTTATTGCCCTGGGAGTAGGAAGCACTCTCGGTGCTGGCGTTTACGTCCTCGCTGGAGAAGTTGCAAAAGCAAATTCCGGACCTAGCATTGTCGTTTCTTTCCTCATAGCAGCCTTGGCTTCCGTGATGGCAGGGCTTTGTTACGCGGAATTTGGTGCTCGCGTTCCAAAGACTGGCTCTGCCTATCTGTACACTTACGTCACTGTTGGCGAACTCTGGGCTTTTATCACAGGCTGGAATCTCATTTTGTCTTATGTCATAGGTGAGTTTGGAAGACCTCGGAGGCTCTTAAGAAAACGCCAACCACAGCCTACTTGGCTTTTGTCTCCTGGCTGCTGTTCATAACTGGAGTAATCTTTCGCTTTCATGCATAAATGTGCACAGAGAGAGAGGGAGAACACTTTTGGGGGGACATGCTTTCAATGTTCCTGACCTTTTGGTGGCTATTGGCAGCAGTGTGAATGGGACAATATCCAGCAGCCAGCAATATGAGAAGGGGATAGAATTGCAATGCATTGAAATGATGAGAGGTGAATGGCATATGGGCTAGGAAAAAGGTTTTTCAAGCACAAGAATAGGGTGTGGATCCCTGTAGTGGTTATGGAAACCAAAGGAAATGAACAATAGTCATATTAGTTTTTCTCTTGATGTATGTGACTAAATTAAATACAGTGGTACCTCGGGTTAAGTACTTAATTCGTTCTGGAGGTCCGTTCTTAACCTGAAACTGTTCTAAACCTGAAGCACCACTTTAGCTAATGGGGCCTCCTGCTGCCGCTGCGCCGCCGGAGCACAATTTCTGTTCTTATCCTGAAGCAAAGTTCTTAACCCGAGGTAATATTTCTGGGTTAGCGGAGTCTGTAACCTGAAGCGTATGCAACCTGAAGCGTATGTAACCCGAGGTACCACTGTATACCACTACATTACATGATGATTTGATTTTTCAGGCATTAATGAGCTCAGGTTCTCACCTTCAGCATTTTATTTTCAAAATTACCCTATGAAGTTGATTGGGCTGATGTGACTTGCCCATTGTCAACCTGTAAACTAAATGGCTAGTGGAGAATTGACCTCTGGCCTCCCATATCCCACTCCAACACTTTTTCTACTATGCCACACTTGTGCACAAGCCACGTGTAGATTCCAGAGATAAAATTATGCTCTCTGAGAGCAACATCAGACAATCTCCAAATTGCTTTTGATGACATGCCTCTCTTGACAAGAGGACAAAGCCTTTGATGTCACTGCGAACATCCAGCATATTTTCTAAATAGTGGTAGAGATAATTTTATTTTATTTTTGCAAATAAATAATTTTTTCTAATATAATTCTTAGAACAATTACTTGGTTTCTCTTGTCTTCAACCGTTGTGTAAATAATGTTGGGTGTGTGGTGCAGCATTCATCTTCCTTTTGAAGACAGAGCAGCAAGTGTTTCTCAGATTGTCATCGAACATGAGGCCCCCGTGCTTATTCCTGAAATTCTCACTGCACAGAGCAACCAGTGTGGTCCTGGGAATGTGCACGCATGGAAGAAGCAGTTTCTGACTCTGTGTTAATGTGAATAACTGCTGGGAATTTGCAGCCAGGACTAGGCAAATGCAGAGACCCATTTCTCAGTCACTGCCAGGAAGCAACAGCTGGGACTGGGGGACATGATTGTTTAGGGATTGCTTACTCCACATGGCTGTATCCCTTGGGATGCTCTGCATGGAAAAAGCTTCACAGTTCCACTCAGTTGGTTGCTGTAAATATTAAATAAATTAACTGTGCTGTCAGTTGGTACAATGTTGTTGCTAGAAATAACAATACAATGCATTGCAACAACGGGGCACCCTTGAAATACAGTCATAGCATGTAGAAAAATGAACTCGCGCTGTAGCAAAAAAAGGGAAGAAGCACTAAATAGACTGAAAATGCACATTTCCTCGTGAAGCATGTATTCTAAGAAGAATGTAGAGTTTTTGACAAGATTTCCAGAAAACGGGGTGAGGCCAATGCTATTCCCACTCAAAGTAGATCCACTGAACTTACTGGAAATGGCTGACTTAAGTTCATTAATTTCAGTGTGTCAACTTTGAGTAGAATTAGCACTAGGTACAACTTGCTATCTCATTTCATTGCTTCATCAAAACCAACTTAGAAATGAGGAATTTCTCATGGCTGCAGCTGAAAATAACCTTCTGGCCTGTATCGGGTCTCTTCCAAAAAACCATATTATCCGATGTGAGTCATCTGCAGTTTCCCAAATGGGGATTTATTGTTTCCAAACTAGAAATTGATTCCCAACATTAGGAAGGGGCACAAGGTTGCAACATTAACACAAAACCACATTCAGAATAGAGAAGAGCACAGATATGGGCCTCAATAGCCCAATATGTTTCAATAACAGCGAAAGATTCCACAACATTAAATATGTAATAATGCCTAGTAAATACATGTAGGTTTTGTCTTTTACAATTCTGATAATTGCATTGTGATGTCAATTGTTTTTGTTCCATTTCATTAAGGTACATCAAGTGTAGCAAGAGCGTGGAGTGGTACCTTTGATGAACTCCTTGGGAAACAAATTGGTTACTTTTTCAGGACCTACTTCAGAATGAATTATTCAGGTCTAGCAGAGTACCCAGATTTTTTTGCAGTCTGCCTTATATTGCTCCTAGCAGGTAAAAAAATATATACTTAATATTCATTTTTCTTATCGTAATTTTGCTAAGGGGAAAATTCTGTCCAGAGGGCAGGGTATGTTTAGCCTCAAGCATGACATATCTGCAAGTTTAGGAATCCTATCAACCTGTGGGGCAAAAAATTTGGTTCTAGTTTTTATTCTGTCATTTTTGTTTCTTTTTGAACAATATCTTCATACCTCAGTTTAGGATATCCTAATTTCCAGTGGAGATCACACATGCATATCATTGCAATTCTAGATTATAATTTCTTTAACTACTTGTGGAAATGTTTTTGCGTGTACTGGATAGGTATCATACAAGGGTTCAATCTTTAGGAAATTACAATGAAATAACTAATCCAGTGCAGCCCATTTTTGAAGAAATGTTTATTTTAAACATATTCATTAATGAATTAATCTGCCCCAGTAAAAGTTAGCAAGAGTGGTTAGATAACTTTTGTTCTTCATATCATTTATATTTGTAATAATAATAATAATAGTAGTAATAATAATAATAAAATTGTTGTTGTTGTTGTTTGTTGTTTTATTTATACCCCACCCATCTGGCTGGGTTTCCCCAGCCACTCTGAGCAACTTACAGTATATCTAAAAGCATATTAAAAACATCAAGTGTTAAAAACCTCCCAAACAGGGCTGCCTTCAAATGTCTTCTAAAATATAATAATATTAATTGTAATGCTTTTTGATCAGAAAAATAGACTTAATGTTAGAGATATAAGTTTGAGCTCTCAACTATTGCCTCTTCTTCTCAAGCCAGGGCTGGTCCACACATTCACTAGTCTAGCAATCTCATATGCATAATGAGTAAGAAGCTTATGCCCATGTTGCCTTCACGGGTATATGCATATGTACAATTCCAACAATCTCCCTAACTCAAAGTCCATGTGGAATTTAAAAATAATCATCATCATGTAGAGTTGTGTTGTGTGTGTGCTGGTGGATATCAGGCCATTTGCTTCTGACCTGTGAAAGGGATTTCTAGGTGGAGCTCATCTAGTCTGAGGTCATGTTTACATCCACAGAGAAAAATATGGACTTGAATGCTTTTTGTGTGTACAGAATTTCCAACTTGGTGAGCCTGTGAACCAGCCTTATGAGATAGCTCATGTAAACAAAACATTGTTAAATTGTAATAATGTAACATGTAGACCTTAATTATGTAACTTAATTTTAAAAATATTGTTTTATAGGCCTATTATCATTTGGAGTCAAAGAATCTGCATGGGTGAATAAAGTCTTCACTGCTGTTAACATCTTGGTCCTCCTCTTCGTGATGACTTCTGGTTTTGTGAAAGGCGATCTTCATAACTGGAAGAAAACAGAAGAATTTCTTATAAACTACACAGTATACATAGAGTAATACAGGGGTTTTTTGTTTGCTTTACTGCTTTGTTTGCTTAGAATGGAGACTTTGGAACATAATAATCTATAAGCTATTTGATGGGATTTATCCATGTTTTAATAAAAATAGATGTAACATTTTAGATTTAATGCCCAACTAACAGTTGCATCGTCAACCGAGAGTGAGGAAAGCGTTTTATTTTATTTTATTTTATTTTTGGCCTGAGGTGAGACATTTTCAATGACACGTTTTGGTTGTAATATCCTGGCTTGATCCAAAGCTGGAAACCATAATTTCCAGCTTTGGGTGAAAAAGGAAAGCTGTAAATTACAGGCTTCCTTATTTAATCACCTCAAAAGGGAAAATGGAAAAGCAAAACAGCTGCTTATACAGGCAAAGGGTTTGTGCATTTCTCATCTTATTAGGCCAACATCATCGTCCAAGCTAGTTCATTATGGTCCTCATAGGCAGTTCATTTTTCATGCAGTGAATACTGCTAAATACCACATCCGTACGTGGGGAAACTTGTCACAGAGCTGCAAAATCCCTCTGAGAGGAATAAGTAGCTAAAAGTGAGTTTAAACGTCCTGACATTTTCAGTGCTTAAGTCCAAACCTGCAATTTCAGTGTGCATTGGGCTTTGAACCCTGCACTGTTTCCATGCTCAGCTCATACCTTTCTGTGCTACGTATGGGAACAGCCATGGCATTGAGGCTTTAAATGTACTTGGGGGGCGGTTCTGACACTTCAGGGCAAAAGGGCAATAAAGCAAAGAATAAAAAGCACCTGTGCACAATTAACCTTTGATTTATGTGTGTGAATGTTGAGAGCCACTGTTGTGCACCCAACCACTCAAGTTATGATGTGGGGTTTGTAAGTCCCATGCCTACACAGGATACGGCGTAATTATTATTATTTGTTTGGTTTTTTTAGAAACCTGTCATCTTCTGAAAATGTGACAAGTGCATTTGGGGTTGGTGGCTTCATGCCATATGGCTTTACAGGAACACTGGCTGGTGCTGCAACCTGCTTTTATGCTTTTATAGGATTTGATTGCATCGCAACAACTGGTAAGCTGCCTTTAAAAAAAAGGGTCATGCAGTTGAAGTTGTGATTTACACGTGCTGGAGCTGTAGTGTAAAACCACTGTGTTCCTATAGCATGATCCAATACGTTTTAGAGAAAGACCTGCAGATGCAATGCTAGAATGCGTGCTTTGCATTCAAAAGGATCTTGGTTCTCAGGGTTGCCATATTTCAAAAAGTGACATGTGTTGCCATACGTCCAGATTTTCCAGGACATTTTGACAATTTCCACCCAGACACTGCTTCCGAATGTAGCATTCCAGATATGTCTGGGGAATTCTGGACTATGGCAACCCTATTGGTTCTTCACTTGCTTGAGTCTGTAGGCAGTTCGCTAAGCTTTTTGGACCTGTGGGCACTTTTGCAAACTTTACACACAGAGGTGCGCAGTCACACTGCCGCCTATTCTACTGGCTACAACAGAATGCTTCTTTCAAGCCTAATTTTCAGTAGGGGGGAGGTGGAGGTAACCCTGTGACCATTGTGGAGGGTCTCTGTGGGTGCATGTGTGCCCACAGGCACTATGTTGGCAACCTCTTTTATTACTCCAGGTAAGCATGCATAGGATTTGCAGAGCAGAAGCCACCAAACACTCTGATGCAATCTTTGTTCATTTCTCTCTTGGCCTGAAAATCTTACCAACTCTGCCCCATTCATTCTGTATCACAAAAAGAATGGCAAGATCTGTTTCTTGCCGCACTTTAAAATCCATTCAGCATGATAATGTGTAATTGACATAAATTACATAGGCTAAAGGAGAGACATCTTGTCCTCCTTTTTAATTTGTTGCATGTTCTAAAAAGGCATTAAATTGGTTTTAAGAACCACGTTATCTGTCTCTCCAAGGCATATATATTAAGTTCTACTTTGTGACTTCATGCTCAGTCACCCCTAATAATTGGAAATATCATGCGTAGGCTCAGTACACTGAGAACCTCTAAAACCTGCTTTCTCAGCCAGAGGTAGCAAACAGTGTTTCTATGGTAGCTTTTTTTCACTCCTACATTACACCATTTGCTCCCTCCCTTGGCTTAGAGAATACACAAGTTTCTACCAAACAGCTATGTTTTCATTTCCTCTTCCTCACTCCCTGTATCATCCAGGCTGGTTTGTTTGTTTTTGGCCTGTAGCAATTTTTTGAACTTTCATTGCAATCACAGACCAATCCTATCAGACAAAGAACTTTTATCTTACCTGGTTTGAAGGTGTTATTGGTGACCTTATAGTAGTGCCTCTGTGTTTTGCTTACCTGCCCACTATCCTTTTCCCACCACCTATTTGACAACGACACCCATTTCTCTCTCTCTCTCTCTCTCTCTCTCTCTCTCTCTCTCTCCGCACAATAGCAGTTATTTCTGAATCAGCATGCGTAGTACTGTACTGCTGTGTTATATAAATTGGTGTATTTTAAAATGTCCCCCCCCAGGCCAATAATACTTGTTTTTCTCTTCACAAATCACACAGAATTCAGTTTAGACCAATAACGTGATCCCATCTGGAGTCTCTGTATTTTTCAGTACTCCTGCTAGATAAAAAGTAAAGTCTTTTGTATAAAAAATAAATCTCATGGATGCACTTTGCCCAACTGGACACACAATCTCACTGTTTCCCATCTTTCGTACTCTTATTCACACTAAGAATAAAATGTTGATTTTCTCCATAGGGGAAGAAGTCAAGAATCCCCAGAAAGCCATACCTATTGGGATTGTAACTTCCTTGCTTGTCTGCTTCTTGGCCTACTTTGGTGTTTCAGCTGCTTTAACTCTGATGATGCCATACTATTTAATTGATGAGAAAAGTCCTCTCCCTGTAGCCTTTGAGTATGTCGGATGGGGCCCAGCGAAATATGTTGTAGCAGTCGGATCTCTGTGTGCTTTATCAACAAGGTAAAAATAAGGAAAACTAAGTCATTGCCAGGAAAATGGAGCTATTTTTAAAAGTTTTGATTCATTAGGCTTGCTAAACAGAGATATTTAGAATAATAATGTAGTTTGTTACGGCTCAAATGTAGCTCAGCTGTGTAAGTCAACTATTTAAGTTCTTATTTTGCGAACTTTTTCCTTTTGAAAGGAAAAGTTACGTTCATAAGTTAATCTCTTTCTGCCTGTGCTAATTTATTGACCATCATATTTGTTGAATATTGTTAAGAATGCACTGGAGTAATATTAAAATACATGTAGTACTGTGGGTAATGAAAGTATATTTAAGTACTTTTTTCCAGGCTCGGGTTCTTGTTTGTTGTTGTTTTTTTAAAAAGCATATATTGAAAATGCATGTTTTAACATAATTTTGGTGTAAAATCAGGGGAAGTGTAATTATGCTCAAATTTGTATGAACTATCCAAAATCCATCATGAAAGTGTCTGCATTTCTAAATATAAGCATGTACTAAAGAAGCTGCATCTAATTTGGGCTTCATAAATCACTTACACTGGCTGCGTTTCCACTTGAAGTGGCTTTACCATAGGAATCATAAGGTTGGAAAAGACCCCCACGATTATTAGGACCACCCTTCCTGTCCTACTCAGTTCGAAGTAAATGTGGCTTACTTGCAAATTGCTCAAGCAAGCATTTAGTGCAGGGATTCAGTGTTTCTAAAACTTATCAGGGCTGTACAAGCTTCCTAACATTTGCGTATGCTTATTTCATTAACAGTGCCGAGGCTGCTTAGCTGATATGGCATTTAAAATCATACAGTTTAGCATACACTGTGACCTGTTTAGCATCCTGCAGCAAATTAAGATAGATGTCACGTTTACTTCACTTTTGTCAAATGCAGACATATGTCCCGGTGCTTCCAGATGGGCTTGTTGCAGCAGGGGCACTGCATACAAGTGACTAGGATTAATGTTTATAAGAGAGCAGGCAGGACCACAGACCTTGGGCCACCCTGTAAAAGACCCATAAGTTATCTGGGAATCTGGCAATGTGCAGATTCTGGAGCAGACCCCAATCCAGTCCAAGTCCAGGAGGACTGGATCACTGGGTCTGTCAGATTGTTTCCCGGATCCTATTTGGCATGAGGATTCTGTTAGAACACAGATTGGGCAAAGAGGTACTTAACAAGAATGAAGTTTTAGCCTTAACTGACTTAATACATGATATAATGGGTTTTTGGCATTTTAAAAAAGTGTTTTCTGATATTGCCTATTTCAATCCTGCTGCCTGGTGCAATCATTCAAGGTGCTGGTGACGCTTAATTGCATTGCAAGTATTACATGTTTTCTACTGGTATACCATTTTGGGGGAAAACTGCAGTGAAGGCTCAAGTTTCTTCAGTTTTGAGTATTTTACTCCAACTGTTACAGGCATTCTAAAAATCATAAATAAAACAAATCACATGATCACAAGTGACTAATAGTGTAATATATAGCAATTAAGATAGTAATAATTAAATTGATAGATTTTTCAGTCAATTAAAAAAATAAAGTAAACCACAAGAGTTACCATTAAAATTCAGGTTAATCTAACATTTTGGGGCCTTCCTCTGCAAACCTGGAGGTTTTGTGTCAGCAGCTTATCTTTGAAATATGGGTAGGAATATTACCATAATTCTGTCTCAGTCATTGGTATAGGACAGATCACTTAATTAGGTTTGAAACAAACCTCTCTTCAGAGGATATAGGAAATAACGACACAAGAATTTTACTGTGAGGACCTTGCAACGCCCAAGTAGAAAAGTGTAGTTGAGGTTCCACCCCTCCAAATATTGTGAGGAAATCTTCGTGCCTGTGACAGACGCAATGTGATCTCTGTGGTGAAGAAAGTGAGGGTGTTGCTCCATACAGAGAAATACATTCTGTGATCCCTGAAAGTGTTTGAAATAGACCATAAAGGCTGCAAAGTACTCTGTGCATTAAAAAAAACCACCTGCACACAATATATAAAAATTAATTGAATGGTTGAAGAAACTTGTGTCTTAACTGCAGTGTGTCTCATGTACAATTTATCTCCTTCCCATCCCACGTTTCTGGTATCGTATGCTGTTAATTGGCCTTGTTTATTTTTTTGCTCTAATGCATTGCATGACTTTGTGTTGGCCATGTTGCATGTTTTTTGCTTTTTATCCAGTCTCCTTGGATCCATTTTCCCAATGCCGCGTGTAATCTATGCTATGGCGGAGGATGGGTTGCTTTTCAAATGTCTAGCTCGTATCAATCCCAAAACGAAGACTCCTGTTGTTGCTACTTTGTCATCAGGTGCTGTAGCAGGTGAGGCTCTAAGCGAATTTATTATCAGGAAAAGGGACATCTTCACCCATGATCAAATGTAGATTCTGAAGCAGTTGCAGCTCAAGTGATAAAATGTGAATCTCAAGAGTTCAACTATTAAACCTTTGGTGTTTGTCTCAAGCCTCGTTTTTGGTTATTGGAAGTGCATTTTACACATTCAGTTTCCCTTTCCCCCATGTCTGTGTTTCGGATTGTCTGTTAGTGCATAATATTCTTCTTACTGTGGCATTTGAACAATTAAATTTTTTTGTTCTAGTCTTCTGGGCTCTATGTTCCCTTTGCCCCGCATTCTGTTTGCCATGGCACGAGATGGTTTACTCTTTAGATTTCTTGCCAAAGTGAGCAAGAGGCAGTCGCCAGTTGCTGCCACAATGACAGCAGGGCTCATCTCCGGTAAGCTCTTAAAGCAGGTCTTGCCTAACTGGGACCTCAACCCCATTTTCATGTGCAAAATTTTTGTTAATAAGATGGGCCTGCTTGCTAACTTTCTGTGCATGCAAATTGGGGACAAAACTGCTGACTAATCAGAAGAAGCAACAATTCTGAATTGTGGTGGCGGTGCTGGTGCTGTTTGTGGAGGAGCAAGCTCGTTGGAGGACTTCTCCAAAGCTTTCCTCTGCTGTGACCAATGGTACCTTTTAATGCATATGCAAAGAAGGAAGTGTGGGTGAATAGCTATAAAGCGTCCTGGCTTTCTCACTGAATTTTGCCATTTGGGCTATTTTCATCCCAGCCTTTCATACACTTCCTCTGTAGTTAATATGTTGTTTAAAGTATATTTGACAATTTAATAACTGCAAATGTTGCATGAAAAGTATTCCCCTCCCCTGCCAATATGACATTAATATCTAAAGCTCACATAGATATTCCCTCCATTTTAAACGGTGTTAAGATTAAATGTCTGGTTTTTTAAAAAGATTAAATATTTAATACATGTCAATACCAACATATAAGTGCTAATTATATTTTGCTTATACAACAACTGGGGAGCCTGTGTAGTGTAGTGGTTAAGAGCGGTAGTCTCGTAATCTGGTGAACCGGGTTCGCGTCTCCGCTCCTCCACATGCAGCTGCTGGGTGACCTTGGGCCAGTCACACTTCTCTGAAGTCTCTCAGCCCCACTCACCTCACAGAGTGTTTGTTGTGGGGGAGGAAGGGAAAGGAGAATGTTAGCCGCTTTGAGACTCCTGAAGGGGATTGAAAGGCGGGATATCAAATCCAAACTCTTCTTCTTCTTCTTGATGGCTAAAGTTTGCAAAGAAGAAAGCAGATAAACAGAGGTGTCAGGATAGGTAATTTAGAGAATAACCATTTTCTTAAATTGTGGACTTAGTGCAGTCTTCCAAATCTTGGTTGCAATTTTCTGTGACTTCAAATGAAAATGCAATGATACCTCTTTGCTAGCTTCTAACTTTTCAATATGTTAAAGCTAGACTTTGTTTATTCATAGTGATATAATTGTATGAAGGTTAAACAGTTTTAAGTTAAAAGTGTAAGTGATACAACTGAACCAATAGCAAGTTGCCCCTCTGAAATAAACACTGTAAAGACATCTCTGTGTCTCTCAAAATCATGACTTCCTAGCATTAAGCATAGTTACACATTGACTGTGCACCAGTGCATAGTTCCCTTGTAAACTGTAATCTGAAGCAGGATTGCAGACCATTTTTTGGAGGGACATAAGCCATGGTTTGCCTTGATGCACATGCCATACCATGGATAATTGTAGCCTGGGAAGGGGAAATAGTTTTGCTAGAGACTGGCTACTGATTTTAAGCCCTTGGTTGCAGGCAGCTAGCATGACCTCTGCAGAATACAACAGTACTGGGTTTTGTTTTGTTTTTCAAAAACTTTTTTCATCTGTGCCTTGCATAAGCCCTCAAATACTTTTGCTTAGTTTTAACACTGTTTTAAAGAGGGATTATCTTTTATGAGTGCTTGAAAGCTCAACACTTTTAATTCATTGCATGAGCTTTGTGTAGTAAAAGAAAAGAAGCAAGATTTGATATGGGCACAGCGTTCCAGGAACATTTCCTATTTTTGCCTTATTAAAATGAGCCAGAAACAGCTTGCCTAACTCCCATTTTATAGCACGGGAGATGCTCACAGTGTATTTTGCCTATTCTGTCTATGCATGTATTTAAATTAATGGTGTCTGTCATGCAAAATGAATTTATACCATTTTCTCATGTGAAAGCCAAGTATTGAAACTACTGTATAAAGCCCTGATGGCACCAAATTTCAGAGGGGAATTAACTCAGTTCCCCTGAAGGTTATAAAATGCTACTGCATTACTAAAATCTTAATTTTGGCCATAAAACGTTTAGAAGACAATGGTTTGCTTCAAATTGTATGAACGTTTTAAAGACCCTTAAGGGCAAGCGTTAAACGTTAATGGAGATGGTAGCAAATATTCATTTTCAGCTTAATACAGACATGTTTTTAATACTAGCTCTGCTTTGTCTTGTTTTTCTAGCTCTGATGGCTTTTCTCTTTGACCTAAAAGCTTTAGTAGATATGATGTCCATTGGTACGCTTCTCGCGTATTCGCTAGTAGCAGCGTGTGTCCTCATTCTTAGGTGAGTTCCAATTTTGGGTTATTAACTAATCCGTTAGGCAGTGTTGTCTAAATCCTTAAATGTTTTTGTTTCTGCCATAAAGTTATGCAAACATGAAGTTACACAAACAGGATACCCTTCAAATGCAGATTGTGCATGAGAGCAACTACCTTAGTACTTTGTTGAAGTTCACATTCCGCTGCTGTACAAGTTTAGGTACTGCTGTAAACAGAGGAATGGGAGAATAAAAGTTTGGCATCTAGGGCAACTTGTATGAAATAAAGCTCTGTTGCACAGTGGTTCTCACCTTTAAGTGCTTCTTTAATGCTTTCCATATGAAGTTAGAACTCCAAATCCCATCATCCCTCACTGGCTGGGGATGGTGGCAGTTGTCATTCAGCAACCACATTGGATATCTCTGTTTTATTATGTGCACCTTTTTTGGTGCTGTGTATGAAATAAGTGACCTGCAGAGCGTAATAGTTCCCTTTTCAGAGCTAGAGACAGAGAAATTCTCAACACTAAGGCACCTCTAAGCTAGAAAGAGATACTTTCTTAAAACAGCTCTGGCCCAATAAATCTTGCGTGCAAATTCTGTCTTCCATGCATCTTCGGTTCGGTAAAGCAGACCTGTCTCTTGTGGTCTAATCCCGGCTCTGATTCCTTATAAATATCCTGTGGACAAGGAGTTCGCCCCTTTGGTTGTGCTCTGCTCCCGGGGCTGGTGGGTTTACCATATTGAGGGATTTCTGGGGCCAGTGGTGCCTTTATTGAGAGTTAGATCACTTATAATGCATATGAAGGGATTCACCATATATTGGCCTTTCTGGTTAGGCCAGAAATGGTCATTATCAGTCCCCATACATGTCAGGCAACCCTCCTGCAATTTCCCAAGGAAAACACTTGAGTGTTTATGTAGGGGTGTGCTGCTGGCCAATGCTGCCTTTGGACACATGGCCTGCCTTCAGTCAGTGGTGCCCAGTGCTCATCTGGTCTTTCCTGGGGGGTAGGGAGGGAGGCTAGGCAGTGTAATAGCCAGCATTGTTGGGTGCCACTGCCCAAAGACATGCAGGGCTGCTTCAGGCAGCGATGCCCAATGCTTCCCCAGATGTGACTGATGCTGGCTTCTTTCCCTACTTGCTGTGCATCTTTGAAACATTAAGAGAGTCTGGACCTGAATGTCCTTCCTGTAATATGCAGATTTCAGTGGCTGTAGGACTGCATATTGGTGGCAACTCTGGCTCTATTGCCTGAATTAAATATCAATAACAAATGGTGCAATAATGCCACCCAAAATATAGAGTCATGTCTTTTCTTCCTGTAGGCCTTGTAGATGATAATACATTGTGCCTTTAATTTTTATTTTCCGTGAACCTCACCTTACACAAATGTATTTGTGTGTGTGTGTATGTGCACAAACAGGTACCAACCCAGTTTAAACTATGAACAGCCAAAATATTCAGCGGAAAAAGAGGCTCTTGCGGGATCAGAGAGAGAAAGTACGAATGAATCTCAACTGAGTATGGTACCAGGACACAGTTTCAGCTTACAAACACTGATTAATCCATCAAGTTTGCCCACGGAACAGTCTGCCACCATGGTTAGCTTTCTTGTATGTCTGTTGGGTAAGTCAAAAGCTATCTAAATACTTGGGCTATCTCGGAAATGTCAACTGATAATCAAAATGCATTTAAACAAAAAGACGGATCAGATTTACTTATTATTTTGAACTTGTCCAAAATTTCTAGTGCGGAAAACAGTATGGAAAAAGAGGGAGAGGGGCCTGTGCATCCCGGATTAATTGGTGTAGACATGACTGCAAGTCTAATTTTGTTCTGACAGCCGAATTCAAAACAAAGGAATGTACAGTATTGGTTTTTTCCTGTCACTATTGCTGAAGCTTTATGTCACTTAAACATAGCTGTCAACTTACAGATTTGAAAATAAGGGATCAGCAGCCTGAAAAATAAGGGATCAGCAGCCCAAATAAGGGATTTTGCTATTGTAAAGAGTTACATACATTGGTAGGATTGACAGATGCTATGAATCCAGCATGAGGCGGTTGCAGCACCGCCGCAGCTGCTGAAGCGCCACCCTTCTGCCACCTCCGGGCTCGCGGGCGGCATGGGCGAGAGTCTCCCTCCCCCCCGGGGAAGGGCCAATGGAGCTCCTCGCGCCAGGACAACGGCGCCAGCGCGTGCTCTCTCTCGCAGCGGAGGACCCCGAGCCGCTGCTTCCCTCCCGAGCCGGGCGAGCATGAAACCCAGGAAATTTAAGGGACATCATCAATAAGGGACAGCAGCGGGACACGGCGCTGGGATAAGGGAGTTTCCCACAAAATAAGGGACGGTTGACAGCTATGCACTTAAAGATTTGAGATTTTGAAATGCTCTCTTTGTGTCCCCCTCCCCTATTTTGATTGCCTCTATTTAGCTTTCCTGATTTGTGGCTTAAGCATTTTGGCCACCAACGGGATTCATCTTCTTGCCAATCTGGAGCCTTGGAGTATTTGTCTCTTTGCAGTACTTTCAGTGCTGTTTATCACCATTGTACTTGTCATCTGGAGGCAACCTCAGAGTCAACAGAAAGTAGCGTTTATGGTAAGCAGTGGTGATGGTAGTGGCATCAAATGCAAAACCTCAGAAACAGTTTTTTTTTGGGGGGGGGCTGTGTGACTAGCTGCCCTTCTGGAGATTACCACCCTGTCGCTTTTGTGGCTACCTTTCAGTTGAATTAATAAGTTAGCTGTTGCCTTAAAAAGAGCTTGACTGATATGGTGCTAAAGTTGCTTTTTGTGGTAAGCCAAAATAGTGGTTCTTGTGCAAATTTGGCCTTGACTGTAGAAAGAGTTGAGAATTCATTTTTACTACAACTGAAACGTGTAAGATTAGATGATTTTTTTTTAAACAATCTTTTGATTGATTGAAGATTAATTGGGCAACAGATCTTTAAAAAGTTTGTTTGTTTTTAATGCAAAAGCTGTGGGCCACAAGATCCGTGTTCCTTATTTTATCTTTCCTTATTTTCCCTTGTACATATATAAAAGCTTGTGTAGCCCATGTGTGTACTACCACTAAATTGTAGTCCTCGCCTTCCCGTTGCAGACCTATCAAAATTTAATTCATTACTTCTGCATTTAAAATGCAGTATAAGTAGGTAATGTGTTCATTGCAACTGGACTAAGACACTTTGCCCTATAACTTTTATTTTATTTTCAAAATATGGATGTGTCAGTTCAGTAGAGCCCCTTTACAAATTTAATTAAAAGTATGACACACTGGATATTTGTCAAAAACACTGAATTGTAAAAAAATTGTCTTTAGGTTCCACTCCTGCCATTTTTGCCATCTTTGAGTATCTTGGTGAATATTTACTTAATGGTACAACTAAGTGGAGAGACTTGGATCCGGTTTAGCATCTGGATGGCGATTGGTAGGTATTATGTAGCTGAATGTTGTTGTGAACTTTTTCTTGCCTCCCCACTAAGTAAGGGCAAAAGCTTAAAAGCTATTTTCATACTGAGTGACCCAAGCGGACATGGTGCAAAGCTCTTAACCTTGCTTGCTGGGCAAAGCCTGCTCAGCATGCAGGTTCTAGACGCAGCTCCAAAGGTTTGACTGGACACAATTTTTGCACATCCGCATACGTCTTGGAACTGAAACCCCACATAAGATGAGGGATTTCTGTATATAATTTTTGAGAGTAGTACAGTGGCACCTTGGTTCTCAAACTTAATCCATTCCAGAAGTCCGTTCCAAAACCAAGGCGTGCTTTCTCATAGACGGTAAGGCAAAATGGATTAATCTGTTCCAGACTTTTAAAAACAACCCCTAAAACAGCAATTTAACATGATTTTTACTATCTAACAAGACCATTGGTCCATTAAATGAAAGCAATAATCAATGTACTGTACTATAAAATAAGACAGTATTGTAGATGATAAAAAATAAAATATTTTTTTTCTTACCTGCACTGATGATTGTCATTGTTTGGATGGGGGGGCTTTTATCCATTTCCGCAGTCACTCAATCAATCAATCAATCAATCAATCAATCAGTAGCTGAACCGGGTTCCACACAGCCACAAAAACAAATTAACCAAAAAAGCCTCAAAATCAAAAGCGCAAAATAAATAGCAAAAACAAAAGCGCCAAACTTAATCCGTTCCGGAAGTCTGTTTGACTTCCGAAATGTTCGAAAACCAAGGCGCAGCTTCTGATTGGTGCAGGTGCCCCGGAAACAATAGCTGACAGCTGCATCGGACGTTCGGCTTCCGAAAAATGCTCAAAAATCGGAACACTTACTTTTGGGTTTTCGGCATTTGGGAACCAAGGCGTTTGAGTACCAAGGCGTTTGAGAATCAAGGCATCACTGTACTAGAATGGAAGCTTAGTGTGGATTAAAGAAACCTATGACCACAAGTGATGCCAAGATCTGAACAAGTGTTCTGTTTTTGTAATCTTGGGTAGAGCAACAGAAATATGACAAAACTGAGAAAACTTACATCCCTTTCTTTTTTTCTTCTGGAAGGCTTCTTTATTTACTTTGCTTATGGCATCCGACATAGTGTGGAAGGCCGTCCTAGGGTGGAAGATGAAGATGACGAGGACGACAGCTGCTCCGAAAAAAGCGCAGCTCCAGAAAAGATCTATGTAAAAGAAGCAAACGAGATTGAAAATGCAAGTGAAAGTGCTCAGTTTATTACACATGAAAGGACAAGTGAATGTTAATGGTTGCTAACTACCATGCTGTGTACATCTTTTGAGTAGTGTAACAGAATGTAGTTGGGGTTTTTTTTGGGGGGGGGGTGGAATGCCAAAACACTTGCTCCCAAAAGGTTAGCAGTAACCTACTTGTGCTTTGTGAAAACATCAATAATGGTCTAAACCGACTGCTAGATATTTCATCCAGTGGAGATTTACCTCAAATTGTGGTTGCCTGAAGTAAAAACTGCCAAGGAAGTGGAGGGGAACAAACTCCCGTCGGCTGATTTTGCCTGTTGTGCTAAAAATGTTGGGAATTTCCTTAGCGCACCATCCTACAACTTGAACTGGCATAATGTTATATAATTAGGAATGTTTAAAGGAGGGAAGCTGAACCATTTTAGGTTGTGTTATTGGGGACACATTTTCTTGTTTCTGTCTTTTAAAAATGTGCGTAGCAGTGGTCAGTAACTAGGTAGCTAAACTGTTTAGCCTCTCAAACTTTAAAAAAGGGAAGAAAAAAAACCTATTTAAAAAAGCCAGTTACCCAGATGAATACATAGAGCAGAAACTTGGCAGCCTTTTGCATTGCGATGTAGTGCTTCTCTGTTTTAAAAAGTGCTAAATTTTTGCTACCACTGTATATGCAAATAATGTATGCCGCGAACATCCTTTTGAAAAGCAGTGTTTGTAATGCCTAACATATGGATGGGCTCCGTATAGAATGTTTTGAAATTACCTTTTACCAGTCGTGTTCCAAATTCTCCTTCTCATTGGTGACAATCAAAAAGCCACACCACATGGTTCCTAAGATGTAAGAAACTTCAGAACAGTGGCAAACAGCATGTGCCTATGTAACTGGGAATTTTTCTAGTCCAGGTGCACCTATGGAATTGCCCTGTGTTAGTGCTGAATGTGTAAACCCTCTGAGGTTGTAAGTAGCTGCCCTAGGTCCAATGACTGATGAACTGTGTACCTTCCAAGTCTCTGGCCCACCAAGTTTATTCATTAATTTCTGTAACTAAGGAAAATGAAACTGTCAGCCATAAATCGGCTGCATTCAGATGTCACAGTAAACCATGGCTGCTTATGATGCGAACAAGCTGTAGTGAACCTCAGGCTTGCATGCTTCTCCCCTTTCATCCTCTCCTCTGGCGTGGCTACAAGATGGAATTTGGAAGTTTGAACTTCTTCTTTTGAGTAACCGCAGCAGGGCATTTTTGCCCCAAACCAACGAATTGTCAGTAATCTTAATTGTGGCTTGTTTGAAATAGACTAAATTTAAATCATGAGCTGTTAAGCTGGCTTGTTTTAACAAACCATAATTAAGATTAACCACAGTTTAGGGTTCAGCTGCAGCTCTAAACAACAATTAATAATAATAAACATAGCTGTGAAAGCTTCCAGCCTGCAAGGCTGCACTTAAGAAATATAACATGGATTATGATGAGGATTGAATTCAGCCACTGTGTATTTTTTTGCCCTTGCAGGAGGTATTATGTCTTTCAGTGGATTCTGCTGTAGTCATAACTTATCTAACATTTTTGTATGAATCATGAACATAAATTTAGATTTTTCAGGGAATATGTTCCATCTCCTTAAAAGAGATGGGTATTTGGAGGGGAGAGAGGAGTAAAAAAAGAAAAGAAAGAAATAGAATTCAAATAACATTTAAGAATACAGAGTTATGCTTAACAGGTGACAGGTCTTTTTAGTTTTGAAGTAACATTTTATAAATAAAATTTGAGGCAGGCATAGGCACCAAAGGATCACTCTTGGTTACATTATTATCACTCATGTATACAGTCATGCTAGGGACGCGGGTGGCGCTGTGGGTAAAAGCCTCAGCGCCTAGGGCTTGTCGATCGAAAGGTCGGCGGTTCGAATCCCCGCGGCGGGGTGCGCTCCCGTTGTTCGGTCCCAGCGCCTGCCAACCTAGCAGTTCGAAAGCACCCCAGGTGCAAGTAGATAAATAGGGACCGCTTACCAGCGGGAAGGTAAACAGTGTTCCGTGTGCTGCGCTGGTTCGCCAGATGCAGCTTGTCACGCTGGCCACGTGACCCGGAAGTGTCTCCGGACAGCGCTGGCCCCCGGCCTCTTGAGTGAGATGGGAGCACAACCCTAGAGTCTGTCAAGACTGGCCCGTACGGGCAGGGGTACCTTTACCTTTACCTATACAGTCATAACTTGGCATTGTGGCTGATGGGCAAGTTGTATTTCTGACACAGTCTGCTCCACACATTAATTTGTGTATGAAGCAACATATGTATGTGTGTGAGAACAAGCCAAAGAGAAAAACAAAGCAAAACTGTCCTGCAGCATTAATTTACTTATTTTCTAAAAAAAAAAAGAATAGGGGTTCTGAGCATCTGTGGCTGTTTCTTCTCCTGGAGACAGAGGAAGGATAACCTGACAATATACCTGATGCCTTTTAGTTTATTAATGTTGGGACCATGTTACAACAATCTGTCAAACGTTTCATCGCAACTGTTGGGTTAGAAACCCATGTTTTAAAAAGCTGAAAATTTCAGAGAGGGGTTTGGGAACAAAAATTGTTTTTAAAAGTGCCTTAGAAAAGCACTCAATCCAAGACTGTGGATTTAATGCTTTTTTTGTCAACAGTTTTCTCATCCCTACACAAGTAAAGGTAAAAGGTAAAGGACCCCTGGATGGTTAAATCCAGTCAAAGGCAACTATGGGGTTGCAGCACTCATCTTGCTTTTCAGGCCGAGGGAGCCGGCGTTTAGTAGTTCAAATTCACACAATGGGGTGAGCTCCCGTTGCTGTCCCAGCTTCTGCCAACCTAGCAGTTCAAAAGCATACCAGCGCAAGTAGATATATAGGTACTGCTGCAGCGGGAAGGTAAACAGTGTTTCCGTGTGCTCCGGCTTCCGTCCCGTTGCACCAAAAACGGTTTAGTCATGCTGGCCACATGATCTGGAAAGCTGTCCTGCACAAGTATTAAAATACTAATGAGATGATTATTCGCAAATAAGTACATCTTAAGCACACTGGGTGGTTTGATAAGTTTGATAAGGAAAGTTAGGCTGGCTTTCAATGTTACGGAAGGGTGACCAGGTGGGAATGCTGTGTGTGATGTCCAAAGTCTACAGTGAGGGGTGGAAAATCCAGATGCAGATACAAATTCACACACACAGTGAGAGAGAGAGCTATTTAGGTTTAGTTATGATTCTTGCAGAATAAGTATATAAGGAGGAAACACAAATCAGTTACATTGCTCGCCCCTATCTGACTTGGCTTACGTGTAACAATACTGAGTTTGATAGGAACTGTAGATATGGCAGCACTGTTCTTTGACTTAAAAATGTAAAGGAGGTATATTTTATCTTGGCTTTTTGTATAATCTTATATTAATAGCTGAAAGAACACTTTTATGAAAAATTATGAACTATATGGAATGTGAGAAATTGTGTTAAGATGAGAGAGGGTGCCCTGATTGCCGCCATTATTGAATGTAGATAGTATTGCAGCAGTTTTTAGCATATTGCTCTGATTGACTGATCTGTTTGCAATGTCCCCAAAACAAAAGAGATATATATATGATTATGATTATGATAATTTCTTTAAAAAATGTATTATTGAAAAAAGTCACATTTTAGTAAATAACTGAGATCACAAACTTCAAAGAAAACAAAAATCACAATGGGGAAAATGCAGATCATTTTAGCAGACAGCAAACTTCCACAGGTCAGGTTTGCAGCTAATCAATATCTCTTTAGGCATCATTATATTATGGATGTCCTTAAAAGTTGTTAAGTGATGAATAGCAATCACCTTTGTTACGACTTGAAAAACTTTACTACTGTGTGTACTAAAAATCAAAACAGAAACTCAGAAGAGACAATCAATACTGTTTCTGTAACTATTTTAAGGTTTTCTACGTTTTGTCAGTTTTTGTCGTATCTTACTTAATTTTAATAAAAATGTTGGAGGCTCAGGTTACTTATCCAAGCCTTACACGAGACAGAACAGAATGTTAGATTTTCAAAAAGAGGGTTCAGGATTTATGTATACTGTAGGTTGGGCCCAAAGGTTCCATTCCATGAAGGGAAAAGACTCCTTCCATCAAAAGAACTTCCACGGGAGAAAGGGAATATTTGTATCCAACCCTATGTGTATATATAAACATCTGGTGGAAATACAGGTGGTGCATAAACATTGCAAGAATTATAGCAGTTTTTAGTGTCTACAGAAGCATTGGATTATCGCTTAACTCTGTAAAATGGGGTGGGGAATATGAGGCCTGGTGTCTAATTGTGGCCCTCCAGACCTTTTTATCTGGCCCTCAGGACTCTCCATGGCACAACGCTTACTTGGTCTGCTTTGAACTCGACTTGAGGGCATTTGCCTTGGATGGAATGTGTCTCTGAACTCTGATAACTAGCCTACTGTACAAAGCTAAAATTCACATTTATTGATCCACCCACTTACGTCTCTGATTATGCGTACAACTTGTATATGGCCTCTGGACTGTTAGCCAGAAAAGAATTTATCCCTTGGCCCGAAAAAATCCCCCACCCCTGCTGTATGTCGTATTGTGTGTGTTGTGTAGCTGATAAGTGTTTTCGTTCTTTTTGGTAAATAGAATTTAAGGCTTTAAGGACATTTATTTTCTCAAACCCTCTTACAGCAGTTAAAAAAAGGGGGGGCCTCAGGATTTCTGTGTGGATTTCATTGCGTTGAGTCCTTGCCTATACAGTGGCTTTCTCATTCATTCCAATGGAGGGAGCAACTTCACATGCCCTCAATGCAGACAGGTCTGACATTTTGTCATGGGTGGTCTAAGGATACTTGGGCTGGTGGGAGACAGAACAAAATTTAAACACACATGTTCAGATACGTTTATCTGTCTCTCGCACTTCTAATTGGTGATGCTTTTTCTGTTCTGTCTTTCCTCCAAAGATTTCAGAGCAAGGGTTTTTTTTAATTATTCAGTCTCAAAAGCCCTGTAATGTAGGCTGGGCCAAGCCCACCCACTGAGCTCTAGGACTGAGCATTGAAATAGTTTTGCTCCACTATATAACCAAAGGCAATTTTTAATTTCCCCCAAACCCTGAAGCTTTGCAATTGTAACAGTTCTATTACTAACCTATGTCCAAAGATAAGCAAAATAAATAGTTGTTTTCCCCATTCTTCCTCACATCCCCAAAAGTTTTAATTAGTAGCTTCTATTACTGTTTACTTTAATTGTACCTTGTTTCACAGACTATGCCCTTTTCAGGTCCAAAGAGCTATGAATGCAAGAGGGATTTGAAAATGCAATGTACAACCAAATACTGGGTCTAAATAAACTTACTGAATATAACTTTTTGGTTGCAAGTCTGTGGATTAGTTCATACCTTCCTCTTTGGGCAGAATGTTCTCCCTGCAAACCCTCCTCTCAAACAAGCAATTGCAAGGAGAAAGTACTGACTGAAACAAAAGCACAGATAAATTTTGCAGCTATATTGCACAGCACATTGCTATCCCTTCACTTTTCTAGTTTTTTGTTCTGCTGATGCTTTTCTTAGCTTGTCCCTAACTTCAGTAGCCATTTATGTAGGTCTCCCACACTTTTGGTAGACCCAAACATTTTTTATGGTTCAAAAATATTTTCATAAAAAAGATCATTCTAGAAATACAAAGTTCTTTTAACGGTGTGACAAAGGCTGAAATCCCACAGCCATTCACTTGGAAGTAAGCTCCACTCAGTGCAGTGGGACTAATTTCGGATAAATGATGCATAAGATTGGACAGTGGATCAGTTTCTTTCTAAAGATCCCTCCCTTTTTATTTCTGTCTCTGGCAAATTCCCAGGGAGCTCAATGGGAAACTTGGGTCAGGTCTGTAGAACTCCCACAGAAAGTCTCTACACGTAAAAACACATTTTGGGTGTTTTAAGATTTTATAAAAACAGTGCTTTGTATATATTTGTATATTTTAGTCATTATTACCATGTATTATGTTTGCTGCTGCCTGTGCACATAAATGGGGATAGATCATTTTAGCTTCAGTCAAGATAATGTTTAATAATCTGCTAGATTTTTTAAATTAATGTAAAAATGTGTTCAGAATGTGTGACAGATAAAATACTTTTTGGTGCTTTTGTTTTTTGATGTTCATAAGTTGCAGTTACTGTAGACTAAGAAATTTATACTGCTGCTGTTCACTGTAAAAAAAAAAGCTACCTTTGACAGTAATTGTGCATTTGTTCTACATTTTTTAAAATAAAGTTGTACATGTTCTACAGGTTTCTTTTTTCATTTTCCAAAGTGCTGGAGACAACCATGATATAACATAATTTTAAAAATCTATAGGAATATCATATTCAAAAAATATACTGATAGCCATTTATATTCTTTCCCACCTTGTTTCCTTCCATAAAGGTTTGTATTTACGGTACATTTATTTCATGAGGTGATAAATAATTCTGTAACATCTTTTCAGCTGTACACTTCAGATAAAAATATCAATTTCAGAAATGATATTAGCACTGTAATTCCTATTTTGAGAAGATAGAAACATGGGTGCCAACTCATTTAGCCAGTTTGATAGTTTAGCACCCATTTGACTCTTTCCTATCACATATGCCCACCAATGCATCTTGGACCTTGATAACGAGTTAGGCTTGCCATACGTCAGAAAAATTCCTGGAAACAGCTCTAGTAAATTTGGGGTCTTCCTAAAAAATGCTCAACAACTTTGCGGGTATCAGGAATGATACTTTCTGAAATATGACAACCCTATGAGAGGTGCAGATAATATTCCCACTCCACTGTTTGGATGTTATCTATATATAAAGTGACCTGTTTAACAAGTTTGGTGCAGTTTATTCACACTACAGTTCCTAGGAATACTGCAGTGCAGTTCACCTGTAATGGAGTCATGCTTTGCCGAAACAAATGAATCTACCAATTTGTGTGGTGGCTTCCTATACTTTCAAACCCAACCTACCATTTCCATGTTCTCTGAAGCATCTATTATCCTATGACCAATTTGGGCAACAAATCGTATTCTAGTATATTCATTAACGTGCCGCTGACATCAGTATTTCCCAAACTTGGGTCTCCAGTTGTTTTCTTTTTTTTTTTTAAATAAGTTTTTATTAGTTTTCCATAAAAAGAAAAAACATAATAGAAAACATAAGCAAACACCAAAAACGACTTCCCCATACCACCCCTTTTCTGCATTCATATTTCAAGATTCTCCAGCAACCCTTTCGTATTAAACTTATTTCTATTTCATAAATATATCTTCCATAAATTAATAAAACAACTGTAGTTCTTTATCTCTTATTACCCTGGTCTTCTAATTTTCCAAATTACAACAGTTTTTAAGATAAATTTTAAATTTGTTCCAGTCTTCATCCACCGCCTCTTTCCCCCGGTCTCGGATTCTGCCAGTCATCTCTGCCAGTCCCATATAATCGATCACCTTCGTCTGCCATTCTTCCAACGTGGGTAGATCTTGTGTCTTCCAATAGTTGTTTTCAGATTACAACTCCCATCATCCCCAGCTAGCAAGGGATGGTGGGAATTTACTCTCCAGCTGTTTTCAGGCTACAACTCCTCTAGCTAGTGAGGGATGATGGGAATTGGGTCCAGCTGTTTTCAGACTACAACTCCCATCATCAAAGTTCTTAAGGCAATTTTTTCCTGTACCACCCTGTGTCCCAAACACATCATTGTGCTTAGAGGCCAATCTCCCCTCAGTAGAATTATGGATCTGGCGCAGGACATTTAACTGCTGGTTTCGCCAAAACTCAAATCCCCCCAGTCTAATATCCCTAGTGCTACAAGACTGTCACAAGAGTGCCTGGTCTAAAATTGTCGATCAAAAACTTCACTCTTGTGGTTTATCCCCACAACAGTAAATCACTGTGGGTTATAGTAAAGCAAACAGCCTACCGGTAATTTGTTAATGCCTAAATGATATTGAGCGTCAGAATAACTTGGCAACAATAAGGAAAATTTGCCCATGGTATGACCATTTTCCATCTTCCTACTTTGGTTCTCTGGCACCCTATCTGCACAACCTAGCAATTCCAAAATATAGACACACTTTTAACCTCGCAAGATCGAATGTACTGCCCTCAGCTGTACTTGAGGTACGATTCCAACAGATTCCACACGAAAAACGCTTATGTCCCTGTGGAGATGGCAGCATTGAATCAGTGGTGCACGCCTTCCTGGTGTGCACTCTTCACAAAAACCTGAGAAACGAGATGATCACCCCTCTTTTATTGTCCATTCCGGGTCATCCAACCACTGCCACGCTGTCTTTTCTCCTGGCGGATCAAGAGGAGCATGTGACAGCAAAGGTTGCGAGATTTTTAGCTGGGACAATCAGAATACAGGTCCACTGTTTGACAGCTGATTCAGGATCCTAAACTGTGTTTTATCATACTCAACTTTTATTTTGTTCTCTTTTGTTGCTATGGCCAATGGCTAAGGCAAATAAAGTTCTTATTCATTCATCCCATCATCCCTAGCTAGGGAGGGGTGATGGGAATTTAGTTCCCAGCTGTTTTCAGACTACAACTCCCATCCCTAGCTAGCGAAGGATGCTGGGAGTTGTAGTCCCCAAAACAGCTGGAGACCCAAGTTTGGGAAACACTGGCTTACCCGCCAAACTGTGCAATAACCATTCCCGCCGGGGCACTAAAACACCCTTCGTTAATGTAGTCCATAAAAAGCACCTGCCAGCACCAGAAATTCAACGGCTGCTTAAAAAACAGGTGTTGTCCAGGAGCCGGTGCTATGCGGACACTGATGGCGCCTCTCCTAGTCCAGCTCAGCTGGGGCCAATGTGGATGGGATTAACGCAGGCTTGGTGGGAATAAAGATATTGAAAACAACCACCACCACCCCCCTGTTCTCATGCGCCTGAGGAGGAGAGGCAGCTGGAGGGCGTGTGGGGAGGTGGGCGAGAGTCTCTTACTAACAAAAAAATGGGGCGTCCTCCACCCCACTTAACTCCAAAACTCGCTCCTGAGGCGGCGTCGCTGCCACGAGCGCTATTAATGACTGACAGCACCGCGGGGGGCCTGAGGGCGGGAAAGGAAAAGGCCGCTTTCCCCCACAACCGCCTCAGTCGAGCCGGGCCGCCTGCCTCGGCCTCCTCCCGCCGACGCTTTCCCGCCCTCCCGAGTTGACGACGGGCCCTTTTCCCGGCCGACTTCTCCTCTCCTTCCCGCTATGAAGCCGTGGCTGCTGCTCCTCGGGCTCCTGCTGTTCCACCAAACGCTGCAAAATGGTGAGTCCGCCCGGGTGGCCGCTGTGCGTCTTGCGCGCCCCACCGCCTTCCAACCCTCAGCATCTCTTTCAAAAAAAAACACCCTTTAAACCCCCCCCCACCCCACCCCATGGCGTGTATCCCATGCAACGCCGCACTTATAAAACTTTTTGGGGGCGAGGGAGAACTGCCGCCTCCCAGTTTCTGCCGCCTTTCCCGCCACTTGGCAGAGCGCCTCCTTCTCCTCCTGGCTAAGCAAGTGTGCCTCAGATTAATGGAGTCCGTTAGCTGCTGCCACCCCTCCTCGCCCCGGGAAAGAATGCTGAGAATTTGGACGTGGGTTTTTTAATTTTATTTTTCTCCACACCCCATTTAGTTACCACAGGACTGTGCTGCTCAGCATGGCTCACATGCATAGCTTTGAAAGCAAACCAACAAACCCCAAAACTTGTTTTTTTAATTAAGGATTTAATATCATGTTATGGGATATCGTATGGTGTTACTGTAAATAATAATGTATTAAGGTTTGAACGAAACTTCTATTCAAGTTAAATGTAAAATAGGGTAACAGCATAAAGCATCCTGGTAAAATTTGTGATTTTCACCAGTGGAAGACACAATTGATCGTTTGCAAAGCCTGGCACAGTCGTGCATTTAAAGCTCCCTGTGAGCATCAAAGGGTCTCGTATCTGATAATTTCATACGAGTTTTGGTACCGTATTTTTCGCTCTATAACACGCACCAGACCATAACACGCACGTAGTTTTTAGAGGAGGAAAACAAGAAAAAAAATATTCTAAATGAAACAGTGGATGTATGATTTTTGTGGTTCATGCTGTGGCCACAGACATGTGATCTGACAGTGAGTTCGGAGTAGCCCAATGCAAAAATCCTGAGGATCCATGTGGATCCATGCTTTGTAACCACGTCTTTGCACCACTGCAGCCCCAGGCAACAATGGGTGCATGATTTTTTTGGTGCAAGATGTAGCCATGGACATGCTATGTGATCTGATGGTGAATTTGGGGTGACCCAGTGCAAAAATCCTGAGGATCCATGTGGATCCGTGCTTTGTAACCACGTTTTAAATGTGGAGGGAAGGAAAAGCACTCAAGGGACGAGGAGCACACGTGGGGTGTGTGGAGAAGGATGCTGCTAATAATGCAGAAGAGGGGTTTAAGGGGAGAAGAAGCATGCGTGGGGTGGGTGGAGAAGGATGCTGCTAATAATGAAGAAGAGGGGTATAAGGGGAGAAGGCTCCTCTCCCCTCCTGCTTTGTTCCTTTAAAGAAGCAGGCTCTCTGTCCCTCTCTCCTCCCCACTCCGCGGCTCTTCTCCCGCTTTGCTGTTTCAAAGTGAGCCACGGAGGAGGGAAGGAAGGGGAACCATGGATCCTCTGCTCACGACTGCAGCAGATCCCCCCCGCCCCCGCCACCCGTAGGCATTCCCTCCATAACACGCACAGACATTTCCCCTTACTTTCTAGGAGGAAAAAAGTGAGTGTTATGGTGCAAAAAATATGGTACTTGGTTAGGATGCCCCAATGTCCAATCCAGGTAACTTGAGGAAGATTATTTGCCTGTCTGTGATACTTGGTGCAGAAAATATTGTAATATTGCAAGAAATGTCTACCAAAACTATTTTTTGGGATTAATTTTGAGATTGAGTTGCAGGACATTAAACTGTTTTGCTGTGGTCATGCTCCGTATCTGATGTGTATTGAGAGAGAGAAAGATTAAGTCAGTTTGGTTCTGGGTACATGTGTGTATTGAAGATGGGTGTCTGGGCTCAGTCTGGTGTTCTAACCATTGCACCACTCCTAGGGGCTGAAGTCTTTTTGCCCCCCCCCCAATAAAAAATAATATTTTTAAAATTTATATCCCGCCCATCTTGCTGGGCAGCTTACAACATATATAAAAACACAACAAAACATCAAACATTAAAAAAACAAAATATCCAATACGAGTAACAAACAAACAGTCCAATAAATCAATAGAAACCAATAACAACAATAAACAGTTTGCAGTTATACCCAAATTAAAATAACCGCCAACCCCAACTAAACATTTAAGTAATGTCAGTAACTCATAACTAATTCAAAGAAGAGTTTCCTTGAATAAAAAGTTAACTTCACTGGCCTCAGGTGATTCACGGTTTTGTTCCTGACCTATGTCTGACTCCAGCCCTGACAGCTTTGGACACTTGCTAATTCCATGGCACTACACATGCCTAGCACACAGCTCAGTACATACAGGTCTTAGTTAGCTTTTAACATCCCAAGCCTTGATTAAATTCTAACACCTACTAAACCCTGAGATTTAGAAATGTCTAGTAGCCACAAACGCATAGCAACCGGCTTGCTATGAGAAGGTATGGATTACATCAGTGCTTTTTTCTGGGGGGGGGGCGCAGGGGTACGCATACCCCTAAACATTTTGTGAATCTAAGTTTGGTGTCAGTATTTCAATATGAATAGGAAAATGAGAGTACCCCTAAGCATTTTTTTTTAGAAAAAAAAGCACTGGGTTACATCAACTGGGCAACTGCAATGCCCACTACCCTGAAAGATGTATATACTAACGATAGATATTATTTTCTTAATGCTTGCATACTCAGGAAGAAAAAACATTTTTTGCATAAAATTAAACCTTGGTTGGAAAGAGCATGCTGCTTTTGCTGTTGGGTGGGCATGCTACTGTCCCGTCACAGCTGCACTAAAATACTGAATTTCTGTCCTGTTTATCTCCTACTAGGGAACATGCGGGGGAAACTTCATAATGAACCAGGCAGTCCTTCTCAATTGTTTGGCTCTAGAGACTAGAATTAGGGTGACATATCTACCCTGAGGAGGGACGCGGGTGGCGCTGTGGGTAAAACCTCAGTGCCTAGGACTTGCCGATCGCATGGTCAGCGGTTCGAATCCCCGCGGCGGGGTGCGCTCCCGTCGTTCGGTCCCAGTGCCTGTCAACCTAGCAGTTCAAAAGCACCCCCGGGTGCAAGTAGATAAATAGGGACCGCTTACCAGCGGGAAGGTAAACGGCGTTCCGTGTGCTGCGCTGGCTCGCCAGATGCAGCTTGTCACGCTGGCCACGTGACCCGGAAGTGTCTGCGGACAGCGCTGGCTCCTGGCCTATAGAGTGAGATGAGCGCACAACCCTAGAGTCTGGCAAGACTGGCCCGTACGGGCAGGGGTACCTTTACCTATCTACCCTGAGGAAGACCAAATACCTTCTTCAAAATGAACCAGGAAATTCCTTCTCGTTGTCTTTTTAAGAAATGAAACCTCAGGGTCTGGGTCACCTGGTAGCTTGAGGCCCAGTACAGTGGTACCTTGGGTTACATACGCTTCAGGTTACAGACTCCACTAACCCAGAAATAGTGCTTCAGGTTAAGAACTTTGTTTCAGGATGAGAACAGAAATCGTGCTTCGGCGGCGCGGCGGCAGTGGGAGGCCCCATTAGCTAAAGTGGTGCTTCAGGTTAAGAACAGTTTCAGGTTAAGAACGGACCTCCGGAACAAATTAAGTACTTAACCTGAGGTACCACTGTACAGATGTGAACTCCCACCCTGCTCTGTGGCCCTTGTTCTTAAGTAGATTGTCAAATAGGCATATTTATCCCAGTACAGTATCAAGTGACCAGCAGTACATGAATGAGCTTGCTTAGATCAGTCACTGCAGGTGTAATTTGTGTTTCTGTTCCAAAACACAGTATTTCCCCATGAAATTCGTTTAAAGGCGCTAGCACAAGGATAATACAGTACTAATTAAAAGGGAAATATATCTCTTGGAAAAACATTAGAATTTAGGATTACAAGTAGTTTTACATGAACAAACCAAGTTTAGTTTTCTAGAATTCTAAGCCAACTTCCAAACCTATAATCTCAGCTGTTCTTTCTACAACTGCGTGTTCATCTGAATGCTAACTAAGAGTAGTAGCTTCTGGCAAAGATAATTGATTTTACACAGAAGTGTCATCTTATCCCGTGGGAAGACCTAGTAATTGCTTATTTGCATGTGTTAATTTAAATCCATGCAGATTTAAAATTGCCTGTTGGTGAGCATCTTGAACTAACAAAAAATGAACAGGATGTATATACACACAAAAGCCCTCCCTGCTGTCTTGCCCTATTTAAAATAAATTGGTTACAAATGCTAATCCTATGTCAATATTCTGGGTTCCTTTCCATATGTGAGGTGAAAAACCCCTTTCAGGAAAAAAATTTGTGCCCAAAATAGAGCATGATATTTTCTTCTTCTCTCTCGTGATAGCTATTGGTCAGCCTGCAAAGAACAAGCGTCCGAAGGAACCGGGAGAGAACAGGATTAAACCCGCTAACAAAAAAGTAAAACCCAAAACTCCCAAACTAAAGGAGAGAGAATCCACAGATGCTTCTCCAAAAATCCATTCCATAATGACACAGGTGATGGATAAGGGGCGTTTTCAGAAACCTGCTGCTACTCTGAGCCTCTCTGCAGGGCAGAATTTAGAACTGCGGTGTAAAGGAAATAAAATTGAATGGAGCCATCCTTCAGATCACAACAGGGTCAGGTAAGACTTTGAAAGGTGGAAATGAATGAAGTTATGCCCAAACTTTACTGTTGTTTTTTAAATAAATGCAAATGTTGATGTTCCTTTGTTAAAATATATTGGAATGTATAGAGAAGGGGAAAAGATTTCAGACCAGAGGGATTTATGACAGACCATTGCCAATGTTCAGTTTCCATAGAATTTCACCTAAAACAGAACTCAAGCTAAATAGAGGGGACAGGGACTTTTGCTCAGATGAAATATCTGGAAACTTCTTTGTTGAAAGAATTGTAGCTGTAGTGTTATCATGTGCGTATTTATCTGGAAGTAGGTCCAAATAATTCATTAGGACTTCTGAATGGATTTAGGAGTGCAGCGATAGTCTTGTTTCACACGCGTGGTTTACAGAAATTAGTTTTCTAACTCAGATGTAAGTTTCTTATTGGGTGTACAGTGGTATTTCGGGTTACAAACACTTTGGTTACAGACTCCGCTAACCCGGAAGTAGTACCTCGGGTTAAGAACTTTACCTCAGGATGGGAACAGAAATTGTGTGGCGGTGGCAGCGGGAGGCCCCATTAGCTAAAGTGGTACCTCAGGTTAAGAACGGTTTCATGTTAAGAACGGACCTCCGGAACGAATTAAGTTGGTAACCAGAGGTACCACTGTATTCCCATCTGCCCAAGAAATACATAGCAATAAAAGGTAGATGTTATCACAAGAGGAGAATGTTTTGTCAACATTCTAGACTAGATTAGGAAAGTAGTCTTTATTTGTAGTTATTTTTAGCTTGCCATATTGCAAACTGTGTGAAGTAAGCTTTTTTCTAGATACATCCTGCACCTGCTGTTGCAAGATAGGTTTTCTAACAAGAATAGCATTCTTAAGATAGAAGTGTAGATGAATTTTAGCTGCATGACAAGGGCCCCTATCTAAGTTTTGTTCCACACTGTGAACATTTTTTTTGGGGGGGGGGGGTTGATTCCCTAGGAGAGTCACCAAATTTTAATTACTATTAGAAATAAATGAATACATTGCTGAATAATAAAATGTGTAAGTCAAACTTTGATATACAGTGGTACCTCAGGTTACATATGCTTCAGGTTACAGACTCTGCTAACCCAGAAATAGTTCTTCAGGTTAAGAACTTTGCTTCAGGATGAGAACAGAAATCGTGCTCTGGCGGCGTGGCGGCAGCAGGAGGCCCCATTAGCTAAAGTGGTGCTTCAGGTTAAGAACAGTTTCAGGTTAAAAACGGACCTCCGGAACGAATTAAGTACCGTATTTTTCGTCCTATAGGGCGCACCTCGGGGTTTTTTTTTGGGGGGGGAATGAATAAAAAAAATGTTATTCCCCCCCCCCAGCCGTGGCTGCAGCCCCAAGCCTTGCGCACACCTGCCCGAAGCACGGAGTGCCCTCCGGAGGGCGCCCCGTGCTTCGGGCTGCAGGCTGCCGCCTCAAGTCTCGCACGCCCGGCGGGACCTCCCGCCGGGTGCGCAAGGCTTGCGGACACCCGCCCGAAGCAGGGGGCGCCCTCCGGAGGGCGCCCTGTGCTTCAGGCTGCAGGCTGCCGCCCCAAGCCTTGTGAGCCCGTGGGAACTCCCGCCGGGCTTGCAAGGCTTGCGGATAGCTTCCTGAAGCCTGGAGAGCTAGAGGCATCGGTGCGCACTGACCCCTCTCACTCTCCAGGCTTCAGCGAAAGCCTGCATTCGCCCCATAGGACGCACACACATTTCCCCTTCATTTTTGGAGGGGAAAAAGTGCGTCCTATGGGGCGAAAAATACGGTACTTAACCCTAGGTACCACTGTATATGGTTAGCACTATTTGTGTTTATAGTGATTGGTATCTTATATTGGGATAATAATGATTTTTAAAAGCTGATATACCGGTAATTCATTGCCATAGGATGTTGTGGCTTTTGCTACAAGTACCAATTACTCTGAAACGTTTAAATAATGTCATGGAAGAAGTGTTTGAGGTTTTACAGACCTTGGTAGCCAGAAAATGCAAACGCTTTCTGAGATACAACATCCCTCTAACTGTTGAACTTCCATCACACTCATGTTAGAAAATACATTAGTCGGCCAGATCCAGTATAGTATTGCAGTTATTCCAAGTAGTCTTGTTTTTATTATGCAGTTAACTGAGCCGCAGCATATCTGACCACTAGATGGCAGATTTCACCAGAAAGTTTATTGTCACATTGCCTTGACCAGAGGGAGTTAATAATTATGTAAAGGCAGAACTGACTGTACTTTTAATGTGTTTGTGTAGTATTAGACCGAAATGCCAAAATGCCTGACTGTAAAAGTAAGCGAGGTACTTTGACAAACGAAGACCATTTTTTCCAAGGTGTGATGTCCTGAAAGGATACGGTAAATTTGAAATGAGGATTCTGTAGTGTTTTTTTAGTACTTCAGTAGTCTCAGCATCTGGCTACCCATTTAAAATACTGTACTGAACTTTGAAATGCAGTTTTCTAAGGGTGCTGAGATTTGTAAGGAAACCCCTATTCCCCTCCCAGAGCTACAGTTCCCAGAGTGGTTTAACAATCAATCCCTCTCCTCAGGGAACTATTGGAGGAGGAGGAGTAAATAATAATAATAATTATTATTTATTTATACACCACCCATCTGGCTGGGTTTCCCCATGTTAGTAACCATGTTAGTCTGCTGCAGCAAAAAGTTTTGTGGCATCATAAATGCTAACAAAGTTATAATTGTGAACTAGATATCCTGTATGTTTTTATTCACTTACAAATGCCAGGATCTTTGTCTGCGTTACATTGTGAATGGTCACTGTAATTACTTTGCATACATCTAAGCTTCATTGTAATTATCTCCGTGTTTATTTCTGGTACTTCCCTCTGACACCACTGCTCCTTTACTCTCTCTGCACCCCTGTGTACTTTCCAACTCGAGAGGACATTCCATGTACATGATGAAGTAGAATCTGGCCTGCCAAACTTACACCATAATACTATTGTGAGTTTGGGGGTGGGGTGGAATCTTAACAGAATATCCCACTGTTCAAGGGCTATAATAGCCCTAGGTATGGGTTGAAGACAGGAGTGCCTGGCGTGTTCTGGTCCAAGGGGTCACAAAGAGCCGGACACGACTAAACAACAACAAGGTATGGGTTTTTATTATAAGCAGGCTTTCTGTCACCCAGGGCAAAGACCCAGTTTGTCACCCCCCCCCATGTGTTTGCGTACACACACAACTTAACACATTTGTTCATGAAGGACATAGAACATAGTTTGAAAGAGGCTGGAGAAGAAATAATATTTCCAAAATAGTAAAATTGTCTGTGTATGTATCTGGCTTTCATTCAACCTTAAGTAGATCTCCTCAGAGAGTAATAGGTCATTTGAGGAATTCTAAGAAGTATTTGAGGTCATTTGAGGAATTCTAAGAAGACGCGGGTGGCGCTGTGGGTAAAAGCCTCAGCGCCTAGGGCTTGCCAATCGAAAGGTCGGCGGTTCGAATCCCCGCAGCGGGGTGCGCTCCCGTTGCTCGGTCCCAGCGCCTGCCAACCTAGCAGTTCGAAAGCACCCCCGGGTGCAAGTAGATAAATAGGGACCGCTTTCTAGCGGGAAGGTAAACGGCGTTTCCATGTGCGGCTCTGGCTCGCCAGAGCAGCTTTGTCACGCTGGCCACGTGACCCGGAAGTGTCTCCGGACAACGCTGGCCCCCGGCCTCTTAAGTGAGATGGGCGCACAACCCCAGAGTCTGTCAAGACTGGCCCGTACGGGCAGGGGTACCTTTACCTTTTAAGAAGTATTATGACTGTATGATATTTTATTTATTTATTTATTTATTTATTTATTTATTTATTGTAGTAGTAGTAGTAGTAGTGGTAGTAGAAGAAACTGATAATGATCAGGCACATAATAAAGAGTAAGTCCTATCGAACTCAATGGGACTTACTTCTGAGTAGTAAATGCTTGCAGTTTAAGGCTCTAAATAATAAAATAAAAGAATAAATAGTCCACAAGTTTCCTTAAAAAAAATTTGACGGCTGAACCATTGCAGTTAAATAATTTAAAGTGGATTGGCTACATTTTCCTTCCAAATTACAGGAAGGGATAAATACAAAGTGCTTCGTATGTCAGCATCACATTTCTTTCATTGCAGGTATTTTATTTTCGGTATAAAGAGGACTCAGTTTTTGTAGCTGATTGTATGCTGCAGTGCCCTTTTTATGTATTCATATGATGTAAACATGTATGTTTTCCTTTCGATCCAAACACACACACACACACAGAGAGAGAGAGAGAGAGAGAGAGAGAGAGAGAGAACATGAATACATAAGCAAGCAATACGCCAAAGTGCATCTGTTCCCAAAAAGGGAAGGAAGTGGTGATCTGATCTCTTCACCACTTTTAATTGATCTCTGAGACATTGAAGGAAGCCAAAGAAGAAGAAGAAAGCAACAACACTTCCCCTTTTCAACTTTGCTTGGAGAGGATTTCACCAGGATTTCTCTGTCGCACACAGTTCCAAAAATGGAGAAAGGGGAAGGAGGATCATTTTCCAGGTTTTCCAGCTTCCCCTTGCCAAATAAGCATCCGTCTGGGCCAGCCACTGTAAGAGGAAGCCCACCCACCCCAGCTGTGAGGGAGCCCCTCCATCATAGGCTCAAGTTGCATATACAGGGTATGCTCTCCCTCGTTCCAAGGAAACTAAAATCTGGGTAAGCAGCTAGAACCCCTGGAATCTTGCACGGCTCAGAGATTGGGGTGGCGTACAATAATACATTTCTAGCATGAGGAAAGTTGCATCACCAATGTCTCTTCAATACCTCCACAATTTAATGCAAAATTAAATCTGTGTAACACATAGTGAATTTTTATTGTAGAAGGGAGCATGTAGTTTCATAGCTGTGAATCACATATTAATGTATATCCTTTGATTTCAAGTGCCATAAATGAAAAGGCGATGACTGAGGCAAAGTGAGTAATGCTTATAGCACTTCCCTGCTCTTCCACTGATGTGCCTAAAGCAACATAGTAAGTGA